AGAAGTAAAAGTTTCTTGAGAAGACTATTACCAAATAAGGAAATTTTCAGGTGAAAAATGATTTACGGGAAAGAGTTGCTTCCTTAAATTATAAATTAAATTTTTTGAATTGCAAATAAATATAATAAAATATTAATAAATGTTTAATTAATTACAATTATATTAAATATTAAAAAGATATTTTATATATTGATTTAATTAGTCTATTAATTTTGATTTAAAGAGTACTTAAAAAGTTATTTTATAAATTTAAAAAGATTATATCTAAATAATTATTAAATTTTAATAATATTTTAAATATTGTATTAAAATATAATAATAATAATTATTTTTTTTATTTTATTTAATATATAGTATATAAAGTTTAATTAGTAAAAAATTATTATTATTAGATTAAAAAAATAATCAATTAAAAACTTATATCTTAAAATATAATAATTGATAATTATAATAATTATTATGATTATAAGATTTTTATAAATCATTTTTTTTTATATAATACAATATTTATAATATAGTTATAATTAATTTAATTTTTAATTTTTAATTTTTTAAATTTTTTAAATTTTTTACTCTTGTTTAAAAATAATAATTTAAATTGAATATAACTCAAAATATTCAAAAATATAATTAATTTTTAATTGTAACTTAAGATTAATAAAATAAAGTATCTTATATTATTAATTAGTTAATGTCTTGACTTGATTTTTGTAATCTTATTTTTAGTTTTGCATTTAAGTTTATTTTTTTAAATAAGTATTTATGACTGCTTGATGTCACTTAAAATTCTATGTTTTAAAATTTATTTTCTATATTAATTAGATAATTAACCCTAGGTAGATTAGTTTTAACTCATTATATATTCTGCATATTAAATATACTGTTTTTTTAAAGATATATAATATATTATGTTTTATACAAATAAATAAAGAAGTAATGTTTACTTATAAATTTTTATTTACTTTATTTTTCTTAATTAAAACATGCACTGTATATTACAGTATATATCAAAGTAAAGTTTTAAAAATATAAGTTATCATAATAACTATTATTATTTGCTTAAAATTTAACTATCTTTGTGTTAAAAATTGTTAAATTATAAATCTTGCAATCTTAAATAAATAAATGATCGAGATAGTATTATAAAAATAATATAACTATTGTATTTTAAACAACGAAATAAAATTCATAAGCATAAGAAACAATTTATATTTCTTTTATTAATATAATTTTGAAAAAAGGAATAACAACAAATCATTTATTTTTAATTAATCATAAAACTCAATGGATAACTTAAAACTTACATCCCATTCCTCCGTCTTTTTATAACCTTTTACAACCCTATTATTGTTTCTCGCATATTCCTTTATTATTTCCAAATAATAACTTTTGCTATTTTCTAAACACATAAAAGACATTTTCTTCAGTCTTGCTTTGCAACTATTTAAAAAGGCTTCCAACTCTCTCGGAGTGCATGTCCATTCATATATCTTTAAGTATTTTAAAGTGGGTGGTATAAGATGACCCATATAAGGTAAAAGTTCTAACGATAACGGGCCCACTCTTCCTGTTTCATAACGATCGTTGATTTTTAATATCTCTAATTTTCTACAATTTTCTAATAATTCCAATAACTGTTTTATTTCATCATGACTCAGAATTTTGGCCTTGAAGTAATTTAGATTCGGACAATTCTTAGCACAGGTTTTGATTATCTTTGGATAATTACTCAAGTCCATGTCCAAACTTAAATTTTCTAGTCTACCCTTTGTGTTTTGTATCATCGCTGAAAGTTCTAAACAAGGTGAATCAATGTCATCTGGATATATAAAGGTTGAAAAATGAAATGTCCTTAATTTTGAAAATGTCGCGATGGCCAATGGTTGCATTATCTCACCGGTTATATTGTGGCATTTTTCAATCTTTAAAGTCTCTAAGTTTACACACAAAGACAAGCCTTCAAATGTTCGAGAATCATCTACAAGTTCATAAAAGTGACAGCAATAGATTTCTACATATACTAATGTATCTATCTGTGTTGTAAGTGCCTGGACAATCTTCAATAGACATCCCCACCAATCTGCAATTGTGAATTTACGGAGGTTCCTTTGAACCGCTATCAAGTCCACCAAAGAGTCACCATTTGTAGAATCATTATCTTCCACGGTCAATTCTTGAATATTTTTGCAGTATAAAGCCATCGAATTAAATATCTGATGTTTTTCATAATACCCACGAGAAATAAATTTTTTCAATTGCCTCAAGCACCCATTTTCTTCAGGAAAACCCGGTAGCGAAATGTAGCCAATTATATCGTCTCTCCCAAGTGGCTCAACAGTTTTAATGTCAAGTGAGAGATAATCAAATCTTTCACTTGATCTCATGAAGAGCTTAAATAATTCCTGGAGAATGAGAAGTATTTGCCTCTCACACTGATATGACAATAGTGTTTTTGACAAAACGGGAATGTTATCGTTGCAGAAGCACCATTTCCTGACGGCGTAGTAAAGCTCATCGACGTCAAGTTCACGCAAAAACTTTGGATAATTAAAATAATTAAATGTAATTTGTGTGCTAGCAGTCAACGTCGAGTTCGATTGAGATGGTGATGAGTTCGATTGTATTAATAAAGAGCTTGCTGAATCCCGCTGGAAATTCAAATTCGACTGTAACTCCAAATTTATAGGCATCATTTGCAACGAGGCTTTCGCCTCTTCAGGTAAAAATCTCAAATATACGGATATAAGTTTTTCTGAATGAAAATTCGATGTCAAACGAAACGGGTTTTTCCATAATCTTGGTATCATAGTCCTGCACCACGTTCTATTCACCAGAATGCAAGAATGCATTGTTTCAACATCATTTTCATCTATACAATATATTATTTTATATAATAATTCAGAAGGGAGATAGAATGACATTTTTTTACATGGAAATAAAATATTATGGTAGAGAAACACATTCATTAATTTATCATTTTATATTAACAATGCAGTCAACAACCCGGTCTTAGGTGTATATTATTGGTCAAGAAAAAACACGATCGACTAAAAACATACGGTCTTTAAACAATACAATATTAATAATTAAATCTATTATTTTGCTATTTATTTAGGCGACCGATATTTATGACCCCTTGTTTGTACCCCTATATAATATATACCCTACTATAAATTAAAAAGGTATTACCGTACTGCGCGGAGCCAAGTACCATCCCTCTATAAAGTATCCCCCTCATGGTACTTTGATTCGCATTTCAGCTCGAATTAAGATTAATTTAGACCAAAGTTTGAAACTACATCCAGATTTGATTAATAAATAGTTTTATATAATAATATAATAACATTACTATTCTTCTAACAAAGTATCACCCTGTAATATTAAAAATTAGTATCATGGTGTAATCGAGATTAGGTATTATTCCTCGTATAGTACCA